GAATGAATGAATGAATAAATGAATGAATGAATGAATAAATGTATATATTTACGTATTTGATTTGGAACGGCAGTTGACCAATTAGCACTTTAATCAAATTGGCCGTTTTACAACTGCAAAAATAACATGACTGATGATATTTGCTCAGAAGAGATTAAGAAGTTGTTTTAAACATGAAGTTTTCCCATTTTTATCTCTTTTCACTTTTTTTTTTTTTTTATTTTTGTTGTTGTTGTTGTTGTTGTTTAACCTAAATTTTGCAAAAAATATACATTAAAAAAAAAGTTTTAGAAGCGCTAATTGCAGAGTATTGGTGTCATTTTATACAAACTGGTTTGCGGTGATTTACCGTTCAATGCACCTGCATATCATGATTTAAGGTACCGGGTGACTAGATGTCCATTTCGAGTACCGTTTTATCTGTCCACAGGTAAACTGTAGTTCATTTATCAATAAATGAACAGCAAAAATTCAGTCAACAATACCAATTGCGAATGATTTCCCAGTTGTTCACTTCCCTAACTACCAATTTTTCATGTTGTTAAGATGCTGGCTACAGCTCGTTGGTTATAAAGTTTATCAGTATAGCGATAGCAAACATTCAGTACCAGTGGTATTTTTACTTCACACATCTTATATTTATTGCATTTTTTCTTTTGCTTTTATAGACTGTGAAAATTTGTTACGAAAAATGCTTCACAAAAATCCAAAGCGGCGTGCAACAATTGCTGACATCAAATCACATCCGTGGATGACAAAAGATCCGTATGCGTTCAATGCGTTACGTACCCTGCGTAGACCAGTGCCAGATTTCTTGAATCCAAATGATGGAATTGTAACGTTCATGGAAAAGTCGTTAAATATTTCCAAGGAAAAGGTCGTCGAAGTAAGTACATCTGTTTTCTTTCAATTCTTTTTTTTTTTTTTTTTTTTTTGTAGCACCATCTTGCACTCTCTACCCGCAACCCCAACCCCCATACTCCAACTGTTTTTTATCCTGTGCAAAATGCGCATGCGTAGGTATGTATATGGCGATGATGATGCATTTTCGAGTTCTTTGGTAGGGTTCCTTTTTTTGTCCTGTTATTTTCAGATGTTTTTTCGCTCTTTTAATTAAACATGCAAATAATTGGGATAGACAAACACAAAGAAAAAGAAAAGAAAACAGGAAAAAAAGTAAAATAGTGTTCAAAAAAGATGGCTGCAACTACACTGGCGGGTGTCACTGTAAAAAGAAAAATTTTTTAAAAATAAAATTAATAGAGGCAAAAACAAAACTGTTCGTTCTTCGCCGTTAGTTTACCTATACATCCTGTTCGATATCAGCAAAAACGTAAGCAAGAAAAAAAAACACTTTAAAAAACTGGTTTTTTGAAACTTATCTAATACGGCACAATCTAGATGGTGAAGAAAACTTTTTTCCTGCACAATCAATGATTTGCAAAAAAATTGTAACATGTCTTTTTTTCACACAGCAAAAATCTTCCATAAGTAGATTAATGTTAAATGGTTATTTATCAACATGAAATTTTCAATGACAATTAGACGGGCTTACAGAACTGGTAATAATGTAGCAATGCTGTCATCTATTCTGTGATATATATTTATGTAATATCAAATTAAAGCTTAATTTTTGAGTTTATTTTCCAACGCTGACTCATCAAAATTATTCTGTGTTATTTAGGCATGCCAAAATAATAGCCGTGACGATGTACAAGCATGGTATACGTTGCTTTGGGAATTGGTTTACTTGAAAGATGTTGTGAAAGAACAAACAAAAACTGCGGTGATTACGGCCAGCGGTAGTGGTGGTACAACAACAGCTAATTCAACTGCTAATGAACAGACAAGTGAAATAAGTGAATTAAATCGGGGTACTTCGGCTGTGCCAAACAGTTGGAATGTGACATCGCCTGGAAAACTGGACGAGAAAGTAGAAGGTGAAAGTGTCGCTGATCATTACGGTGATGTAGGGGAAGTATCGGATGGAACAAGAAAATTGGAAATGGAAGAAACGGAAGTTGATGACGCAAAGTTGGATGAAACTGTTGATTCACAGGCGAAGATATCTACAGGAGAACATGTCCTGACCAGACAGTCTACAACTGCGACAATTACTTCGTTGGATGAAGGATTTGAAACCGACGCTCACACGTCGTCGGCAACCATTGATAATTCAAAAGAATTAACTACTAAAACTGCTGCATTAAGAGCTGCATCGTTACCACGTGAGGCTCCTGAATCTGGAGCTACAGGAAACGTTGGAGCTAATGAGACCTCCACAGCAACAAACGCTTCCACAGTTACTGCCGTCGCTCAAACCACTACTGCCTGCAGCAACAGCGCTGCCATTGCAACAACAACTGCCGTCGCAGAAACGAGTGAATCTGAAAATTCGTCAACGGCACGACCGTGGTCTTCGCAACAGCCTGAAGTTCAATATCCGAGCAACATTGGTGAATTTTTCAGAAATGTTTATTTTTCGTCTGAGGAAAATTTTTGAAATCTTTAATGTTTAGTCTTTATTGTGAACTTTTTGTTACTTTTTATACATTATTTACTTTTCTGAACATCTGACAGTAATCAACAGTTTATAGTCATTAAGCATTCCTTCATAAAAAAATATTTTTATAAGTACATACGAATGCAATAAATGCATTAGATCGGTAATTTTAGACACTGAACATAAGGACAACGGGAAACCACGTGATGAAAACAGTTTACAAACAGAATTTACGAATAGGGTAGAAAGATGCGGTGATATTGTTGAAAAATATGTTGGCATACGATGGCAGAACTATGGTTTTTTACCAGGAAAATTAAAATTGTCGAATGCAACTGAACAGTTAGACGAAACTGCACAGTTTGTTTTTATTTGTATTATTCTATCAACTTTTTTTTTGCAATTTTTTCTGAACAACTGCTAGAGAAACCATCCTTTTTTGTCAAATCATCATTCAGCTTTAGCAAATTATGTGCTGTAAGAAGTAAAGTTAAAAAACCTATGGAACTTTTTTTTTTTTAAAAAATAACCGGAGAAAAAAGCAGTGTTTTTTTTTGGTATTAATAAGTAGTTAACTGCTAAAGTGCGATAAATTTTTCTTGTTACGGATTGTATGGTTGAGCGGAAGAGGGGGGAGAAGGAAGAAGAAGTATTCAGTGAAGATGGACGGAAAAAATTAACCCATACAGAGAAGAAGAAAAATTTTGGTCATCTATGAATGTTATATTATTTACGGTAATATTAGATGGTAGTTTTTCGCCATGTGCTATTTAGTCGTTTTTTTTCGCACCAAAAATAGCAATTAATAAGTTACGACTGAAGAACTCTTGATTCTGAAATAGTTGTAATTTTTTTTTCAGATTTTCGGGAAAAACCGCTGATGCAGGAGAGCCGTCTGATGTCAGTGTTATCGAATCAACGGCAGCGCCAAATACGGCAAACACGAACATCGCCTCTCTGAAGAAGCCGTATTCACCAGCTGGTGCTCCCGGCTTACAGAAGAGAATATCACTGTCCGAAGATTTGGAATTCCAACCACATAAGCTGTTGAACATTAAACAGAGCCTCTATGTTGAGCAGCAGATATCCGATTTACCTGAATCTGAACTGTTAAAACAGGCACAACGGTTTCGTTTGGTGCGACAATTACAGTTGAAAAATCGATTAAGTCATGCACGACAGCAGGTTTTTAAATTATTTTTTTTCACGTGTTTGTTTATCTTTAGTGATAATTAATTTTCTAAAGACTTTATTTGTTTTTTTTATTTAATACATTTGCAATTTATTGGATGGAAAACTTAAAACGCTTGAAAAAAAAAGTTTCAGATAAATCAAAAACATTATGGATATATTCATCTTCCGCCAATTTTACCGGAAGAACCGGCCTGTTTACCGCAGTCAACATTCGATACTGATGAACGAGGTGGCAATGTCACTGATATGAGTTAAAATCTACTGTTGGTCAATTCGGATTACAATCAGCGGAGGATTCTAAACACAGCTGCTGGACGTAGTGTTACAGCGTGTTTACATCTGCCCACAAAATTTACATGTCGTAATTTGGAAACGATTGAATTTCAATATATTGCTCTAAAAAAAGTCTTAATTTCCAAAATGACTCCGTGTTTGGTAGTTTACTGAGTATTTATCTTGGAAGCAGATCATCATCATGAAAATGATCAACAAGTGTCGGCTTCAACAACTTCCCGTAACAATGAAGTCGTTTGGGACGGCTGCACAATAGTATTGCTCTTCTTCACTGCTCCATTCTTATAGAATGAATCATTTTTCCTTTGCTTATTCAAAAGATGTTATATTTATATTCATAGAATCACAAGTATACCGCAGTTATTGTTGTTTATTTCCTTGACGATTCTATAAGCTAATTCAATTAGCCAGATCTTCTACTCGTTTCTTTTACCACGCCTCCACCTGTTTCCAGCAGTTCTCCTGCTCAATCCTCCTGCTTCTCCTCTTGTTATTTTCTATTTCTTAATATCACATGGAGAAACATCAATGCAGCTCGAGTCAGCAGATTCATAATAGTAATTTAAAGTCAATTTTCATACTATACTGTGGATGTTGAAGGAAAGAACCCTTCCGATGAACAAAAAAATTATGAAATTTTATTGTATTCTTTTTCCTTTTTTTTCGCCTTGTCTAATTATAGTTTCTTTTTTATTCTATTTTTAGTATATTAAGAACATAATCAAGCCGTTTTTTCCTTCGTATATATTTATGGCGTTTGTTTTCAATTTTTCTTTGCTAAACTAAATAATCGGCTTTTACCTTTACTCTTGCTCTTTTCTTCTCTTTCCTCTTCTCCCTTTCAGTTTCTTTTTCATGTTTTCAATACCATGTAAGATCAGTTTACAACTGTCTTGTTATTGTCTAACAAATATGAACAGTTCTGTTTATTTGTGTGTATGTCTGTGTCTGTGTGCACATCTTCTAGGTTTTGTTTCCTTTTATTTCTCTACTTTTTTAGTAAGCTTTTCATTTCTGCTAATATCAAAGATCTCTACGAATCACAGATATATTTTAGCTGTATAATTGAAAATGCTTTTCAAGAAAGTGCAGAAAAGAACATAAAGTGAAACGAAAAAAGATCATTTTTTTTTTACTTAATTTGTATTTTGTATACAAGAATTTGCTCTCATCTTTGTTTCTGTTCAAATTTATTGCTTTTTATGACGATATTATTGATGATCATGTTTCTTTCGTCCACTGTGCCCCGTTATCACCTAATGCGGTAACATATAAATATGTGCAACAGTCTTATCCAGTATCCGCCTTGAGTTAGCATTTTTGCCTATATATATATATATATATATATATATATATATATATATACGTATATATATATATATATATATATATATATATATATATACATACACAGTATCTTTTTGTGTGCATTAACTGTCATAACGTAAATGGTGTTCAAGTTGATACATGTACGATTTCCCAATGACAGTTTATCCATATGTGCTGACAACGAAACTCACAACAATGGTTATTCATGATGCTTACTGTTCTGTATATTTATTTGGAACTGTATTTTAGTATAAATAAGTAAGCATTATCATCCTGCAAAATTTATTTATTTTTTTGTTGCACAACCTATGTATACTGTTATGTGCATTGGTGAGTGGATGTGTGTGTGTGTGTGTGTGTGTGTGTGTGTTTGTGTCTGAGTGTGTGTCTGTGTCTGTGTGTTTGGGTGTGGTGTACTTTTGATTTTTGTATTCTGTTGCAATCAATTCCAGAATCAAAAATTCTTTGAAAATTGTTCTGTTTTCTTTGATTTTACACCAATACTACCGGTTACTTGCCTGTTGAAATGCTGTAAGATGAAATGAAAACAAAGAAAGAGAAAAAAAACGAGACCATTATTGTCACTGCAAAATGGTAGACAAATACACCGATGTAACACTAAGTATAACACTACTATATAAATAAGTGTGGAAAAAAATAAAGTTTATTTTCGCAATAATTTATATAATCAACGAAAAGTAATAGTCAATTTGGATGACAACTTTAGATAAGTTAGACAAGTATACAAAATACAATTATCTGATAAATTAATGAAGGAAAAATTATTGTTGCTTTTAAGGAAACTTGTAATTTATTATTTTTTTTAAAACAGATTTCTACAATTTCTTTTATGCAAACTGTAATAGTGACTTTTAGTTTAGTGCAAGCACTTTTTTGCTTATTTGTTTGCTGCTGTTTTTGTTAGTAGTTCATTCGCTCAAAAAAAAAATAGTAATGATTATAATAATAAACTTAAGCAAGCAGAAAGGTTATGAATCATCCTGTTTTTGGTTGTCGTTTTATTTGCACAGTGTACTTGCAGTTGGTTGAAGATGACAGTGTCGATTGCCCTTGCAGATCATTTGTGGAAAGAGAAAAGAGAAGTTTGGAGAAAAAAACTGAACAAAAAATGGTGTAAAAGTGGGAAATAAGGATTTACCGCAAACCTTCAAAGTCGATACTTTTTATGTTGACCGTTTTTCTTTCCTCCTTTTTTTTGTAACTACTGAGAATAGGTTTGTTCTTTGCTTCTCCTTACATCTTCGCCGTCTGTCCATGACCTTGCTTTTTGTTCCCGAACTGTGACAAAACGTTACGGTTGGTATTTTTTGCGGGTTTAGCATAAATTGATAGTAACAGAGAACGCAGTTGGGAAGAAACTGTTGGAACTACGAAGAACGAACAAAAGTTAATTGTAACTATTGTGATCACTGTCATCACTATTGCAGCCGACATCGTTGCCCGTTGTCGTCGTTGTAGTTGCTACATCGTCACATCTCAACTTCTTGATTGCCACTTTCAAATCACAGTTTCTTTTTCTCTTTTCAGCCAGCAGAACACATTTGTCTTAAATTTTTGACACTAATTTAAGCAATTTTTAAACTTTTTTTTGCTCTTTTTGCTTACTTTTTGTCAAAAAATTTTGTTTATTGCTTTCTTTCACTGTTCACTTAAATTGCACCAAACTTTTCCTTTGAATTAGTGGGTTTTTTTTTTTCTAAGAAGAATATAGGGAAAGGAGCAAGAAGGCAAACGAAAACCTTTCAGGTTTTTGCACTAAAAATTTTCCAGTATTAAACAAGTTATTTTTTTCATTTATTTATTTATTTATTTTTTTTTTGTAAGTTTACAAATCAAGCGAAAAAAAAAACATAATTAAATACTGTAGCGCAAAAGGAATAATTTATCTTCTTGTTTCTTCTAGAGGAACTGCTTTACCGGGTAAAATTTAGGCAAAACTTGAGACGAATTAAAGAAAAATTTTTCTTGATTATCCACTCGAACTCTTCTTCCCATATTTCACTCCCCAAATTAAAACTGCGTTAAGATTATATGTGCAACAATTTAACTGTTTTCCGCAGTCGCGAATAATCCAATTATTTTTAAATATTTCTGCGTTTTCGTCTTCTTATTAGGTGGATAACAGCCTAAAAGAAACCGGTTTGATTAAGTGGCATAAAAACCGTTATTTAAGCTTTCCCGTTCTTGAAGGCTCAATGAACACTACTTTTGCTACTCAGTGTTGACATGACCACATCCACAAAAATACTGATGAAACTGGCTCCGGACATTGACGAATTTAACTGATTGAAAAACGTTTTTTTTTGAAACATCACCAAAAGTTACTCCAAACGTCAGACACCCAAACTTTGACCACTTACTTTAGTAATCGTACTGCCTGTAGTGGAAGTTGCAGCAGTGCCGCAGCTGCGATAATGATGACGGCGACCGCTGTTACTGCTGCTGCTGCAGCTGCTCCTAGGGATAGTTTTAGCTCATTTTCTGAGCGCAGTAATCGTTACGGTCACGTTCTTTGGTGATTAATTGACGCTGTCAGATGGGCGCAAAAGATGAGCAGGCAGGCACAAATCGATGTTATCGACGACATTTTTGCACAGCTTTTACGTAAAAAACTTTTAAAAGTTCATTTTAAAATGCCTTAATATTGTAATCATTTTTGGTTTTACAAATTCGTTTTTTTTTTTCTGCATTTTTTGCCCGTGTGACAACAAACTAAATGAATGGTATTTTTGACTGTGGAGTAGCGGAGTTTCACTGAATCACACTCACTAAGACTGAGTAATTGATTGGCCAACTAGAAAATCTAGAAATTGTTCAGTTTTATGCTACTGCCAATGCTGCTGATGTTTTTGGTATTTCGTTGATTGTTGATCTCTGCAGTAGGTGGTGATACGACAGAAAACTGTTTTCTTGCAGCTATACTGGTTGAACAGTTTTTTTTTAGACTTTCCACTGATTCTAAGAAAAATATAAGTTTTATCTCGCTCGCTAAGGAAATAAAAAGAGGGGACTTGCCGAAAACTATTCATCATTTACTTTCATTTATTACACCCATAAGCAAAATCTTTATTCCCACCTCATTGTAGTGTAGGCAACGAGGAAAACAAAGAACCATTTGTATTATACATATTATACTGAAATCTGAAACCTTTGGAGGTGAAATATGGAAAAAATATGCAAAAAAAAAAAAGAAAAAAAAAAGCAGGAAGCAAAGCAAGAGGAAACAAAAAAAATCCAAATATTTCTGTTTTTGCCTTTCGCTCGTAGCTCGTTGTAGCGTTTGTAATCGGTCAAAATCACCTGACCAAAAAAAAGGGACAGAAAGAAATAAAGCAAAAACAAAAAAATTTCCCCTTCTTTCACCTTTTTTGTTTTTATTTTACTGTATTTCACTTTAATTTTTATCTTCCATTATTTGCCATTTATTTTTGTTCCTATTTCGTGATTCAGAATTCTTTCCTTGTTAATGTCGACTTGTAAGTAAATTAGAGGCGCATAACAACAACAGAAGAAATTGAATTGTTCGCAAATACGACTGCTACAGTTCAAAACATTTTTTAGTATTGTTTTCAAAATTGTCACCACCAGCATTACCACCAGCAACAATAATT